TCTGCGGTTCTCTCCGGTCCGAATCTTCTTAAGAATCACCAGCTCCTCTATCTTTCTGATGAAAGCTCTAAGTCTAGGCACTCGTCCAGCAAGACTGCGCGAATCACTAGAGATACTGGAGCGCTGCGTACAGGTGCTGAAGTCGAATGCTCTTGACGATATTCACCTGAGCACCCGATACGCCGAATTGCTGGAGATGCACGTGTCGCGCCTGCGTCGAAACCTGCTTGCATCTTCCAAATCTGCCAAGAACAGTCATGGAACCACGACTCGCAACTCAATGGTTCCTCAACAGAGCACAGAAAGCGACAACCCTGCTCCCATGGCCGAGACCCCTGTGTCGCAGAGCCTGGCGGACGTGAGCCTGTTTCCCCAGCTCAACGATATCGCCGGGGATGATTGGCTTTCCCTACCGTTTGATCCGTCGATGGCACCCTTTGGAATCAATAGTTGTGGGCAATTTCCTGCTTATGGAGGAGGAGCGTTGAACTTCATCTGGAACTTGCCATCGTAGTTGATGCCATCTATCTTGAGGCTGGACCCACTTACTGTACCATGTACTGAAAAAACCAAACTTTATCATGCATTATCTTGCTTAGCGAGTTGACTTTGTTGATTCAAATATGCCGCAGATATGTGGTGCCTCCATGGTTGTGAAGTATGAACGGAAAGCTCTCAACGCTATGCATAGGCTGAGCGACGTATTGCGTTAACTTGACGTGGAGCTTTCTAAGGCTAAATATGGCAAATGTAGTGCACATCTCCAGCCTGTTGTAAGGTAGATAACACAAAGGAAGATTGTATAGCACACTCGCTGGCAACAACCGACATGGATCTGTTATCATCAGCATGGCGTCAGTGAGACACAAAGCCCGGATGAGTCGGCCAGACAAAGCGCTCGGGCCTTTGACTCTAAGAAAAGCACGCAAGGACAAGAGGAGAGGAAGAAAACTTTGATGGAATTCCTGTCAGTTGGGAAGCATATTTTCCTCCTCGTCTTCCCGACTCGCCACTCACAGACTGGGTTCGGACTGGCTTGGACAATGTTTTGGAAGGGAGATTCCGGGCTGGTTATCGGCACGTGATTGGGGGCGGGGGGGGGGGGGACAAGTCACGTTTTCCCGGCGAAAAAAGCCAGAAACTTATTGTTGCGATCCGCCTTCGCTCTCCGTTCCCCGACCCCAGAGTTTGTCCATTAAAGACTGCTTCTGCCAGCCTGTCGTGCACCACCTCGACTCGATCTCCCGACCCGTTCTCTCTCCCTGCAACTCGCATCACATTTCCGTCGAGTTCGATTTTTACGGTACTGCGAAACCACCGTCCTCCCAACCTCTTACTCGACCGTGCAGCTCCTGCCACAGCTACTTGACTTTCTCCGGGCACGCTCGCCATTTGACCTCTCTCTCCACCTCCTCTTCACTTTAATTCATATATCGCAATGGATCACTCCAGAGATCCCTGCCCCTGGGTTGCCCTGAGCGACTTCGGCGGTGCTTTCTGTATGGGTGTACGTCATCAATGGACTCCCAAGCTGAATCACACTCAGCTGCATTTGCATTTCCGCCATCGATCCCACAAACTAAACTGTTTCCTTCTGTATAGGCTATCGGTGGTGCCGTCTGGCACGGTGTCAAGGGTTTCAGAAACAGCCCCTACGGAGAGCGTCGGATAGGTGCCATCACAGCCATCAAGGCTCGTGCGCCCGTCCTCGGTGGTAACTTCGGTGTTTGGGGTGGTCTCTTCTCGACCTTCGACTGTGCGATCAAGGGTATCAGAAAGAAGGAGGATCCCTACAATGCCAGTATGTTTCTTTCATCCGTTGTTGTACAGCTGTACACGAAAGCGAGCGGCGCGGCATCGCGCGCGTTTTCATGGCATGACGACATGGCTAATTGACTTCGCAGTTATTGCTGGTTTCTTCACTGGTGGTGCTCTGGCTGTCCGTGGTGGTGTCAAGGCTGCTCGTAACTCGGCCATCATGTGTGCTGTCTTCCTGGCTGTTATTGAGGGTGTCGGTATCGGGTTCCAGAGAATGATGGCCGACAACACAAAGCTCGAGGTGAGAATTAATTCCGGTTTTGTTGTCCCGGGGCATGGTTTGGCCAGTGGCTTGTTTGGCACAAGAATCAAGACCCCCGGGCTTTTTCTTGGGAAAGTTTATCAGGAGCTAACCTCTATGATTTCATCGACTTTTAGCTCCCTCCTCCTCCCCCGACCCCCGAGAAGGCCGTCGCTTAATTGATCCACCACCACCTAAAACTCTCCTCCTTCATTTCATGCTAGTTAGGAACGTACGAATCCCCGCGTTGTCAGCAATATGCCCATCTTTCTCATATCCTTATCCGTGGTCTCTCTTCTCTGGTGTTGGGCTGGTTCATATCATTTCAGGATGCATGGTATAGAGGTTCCTTTCGACTCCTTGCTTCGATCCTCCTCCCCTCTCTCCCTCTCTTATGATGTCTTTTCTATAAAGAAGTGTGGGTCTTTGTCGGCGATTTTGGATGACACAGCCTTGCATCCTTGTGTATTTTTCTCTGTTGTGTGTTTTTCTTTTCTGAGAGGGGCAGATCTCAAAAGAAGAGGTTCTCTCCGGATCAGTCGGGGGGAACTGTTTTATCTCTTTTTATTTTTCTTGTACATTAACATGCAGATAACAGGTATAATGTGATACTTCGTACACAGTGAAGTTTTACCTCTGGTAGTCATTGACTATTGCTAATCGGGACGTTGATTTGTGCAGCAGATTGTGACGGAGTGAGTGAGTGAGTGAGTGACGGCAGACGACCCATCCCAATCAGGCAAAGAGCGTGTGCAGTGCCAGCCGATAAGCCGCGCGCAAGACAATCCATCAACCCCCGGCCGACGTTTATCCCTCCCCCTCTCAGCGCCTCTTCCAATCGAACTCATAAACTCATAACTCCCAAAGGCTGCTGAGCACACCACCAGCCTGAATCTTAATTCTCTACAGATCCTACACCCGGTATACGCAAACAACCAGCCGCCAGCACCACCACCACCACCCACAACAATGACCTCCAACTCCCACCCCTCCCACCCCTCCGACCACAACTCCGACCACAACCACAGCCACAACCACAATCCCTCCTCCCCCCTCCCCGCCCTCTTCAAACCCACCCTCATCCTCCACGGCGGCGCCGGCGCCATCCACCGCGCCACCCTCCCACCCGACCTCTACGCGCAATACCACGCCTCCCTCCTCGACTACCTGCGCTCCACCCGGGCCCTGTTGGAGGACGGCGCCTCAGCCCTCGACGCCGCCGTCCACGCCGTCTCCCTGATGGAGGACGACCCGCTCTTCAACTGCGGCCGCGGCAGCGTCTTCACGGCCGCCGGCACCATCGAGATGGAGGCCTCGCTCATGGTCACCTCGGTGCACCCGGGGCATCCGCTGTCGGAGCGGGCGGTGGTCAAGCGCGGCGTCGGCGTGATGGGGTTGCGGAATGTGAGGCATCCGGTTCGGTTGGCGAGGGAGGTGCTGGAACGGGAGGGGCGGGGGCAGCGGGGTGCTGGCGGTGCGGATGGGCGTGGGGATGGCGGCAGTATGCACTCGCAGCTGGTGGCGCCTTATGTGGAAGATGTGCTGGCCCGGCAGTGGGGGTTGGAGTTCATGCCCGATGAGTGGTTCTTCACGCAGCGGCGCTGGGAGGAGCATCTGCGGGGGTTGCGGGGTGAGGCCGAGACTGTCTCGATGAGTCAGGGGACCGTGGGCTGTGTCTGTTTGGATCGCGGGGGCGGGCTGGCGGTTGCTACGAGTACCGGCGGCTTGACGAATAAGTTGCCGGGGAGGATTGGGGATACGCCGACCCTGGGGGCGGGGTTTTGGGCTGAGGCGTGGGAGGAGGACTGGGTTGAGGGGATGGGGTGTGGTGGTCTGGTGGATGGCGAGAAGGGGGAGAAGGCCGGAGGGCTTTGGGATCTGACTCTGGGAGGTTGTTTGCCGGGGTTTGTGAAGGATGGGGCTGATAGGATGTTTGAGGCTTTGTGGGGAGAGGAAGAGGATGGGTTGGCTCGACGGGGTTACGATGGTGATGATACTGCACCAAAGTCGGAGAAGGAATGGCTGATTGCGCACCCGCTGGAGCCGACTCCTGCGCAGAAGCGGCGTGCGGTTGCGGTGTCGGGGACGGGCAATGGGGATTCCTTCCTTCGCACGGCGGCGGCACGGACGGCTTGCGCCATCTCCCGCTTCTCAACCCCCAAAGCCTCGTTGGCTGAGGCTGTCAGTGCCGTTGCTGGGCCCGGCGGCGAGTTGCAGCGTTCGGCCGGGGATCGTTGGGGCTCAACGGGCGAAGGTCAGGGGGGTATTATTGGTATAGAGGCTGAGTTGGAGGATCCCGTGGCCATGGATCATGGTGATGATAACGACCGAACCAAGCTCCGACGGGGACAAGTGGTGTTCGACTTCAATTGCGGAGGGTTATGGAGGGCTTGGGTGGAGGATTCTGGTGATGGGGAGGAAGTTGAGCGGGTGATGGTGTTTAGAGAGGAATATAAATAGAGAAGAGAGAGAGAGAGAGAGAGAGAGATTGGCATGATATAAGTTAAGTTACTACCTACTATACTAGTATACACAGTAGTTAAGTTGGGTAAAAGATGATTAGTCAATTCGAGACTGGCCTGGTTAACTACTAGGTACTCGACAGCCTCGAACAATAACCAAGCTTGAAATCACCAAGAGATTGTTCTGAGGCAGACAGTAACAATGACGGTACTGACGGTACTGACGGTACTTAGGAGAGTCTTCAAGTGCCTGCGCGAAGAAGAATGTGTTGAAGAGTATTCGTAACAAGTAGCAAAAGCAAGTAGCAAGACAAGCAAAAGCAAGCAAGCGGAAAGACCACCCAGTACTAGGTAGACCCCACTCACTTACTGTCTCGGCTTGGCGCTTCTTTTCCTCCATCCATCGTCACGTTCCTTTCCTTTCCCTTCCTTCTTTCCCTTCTTCTCTCTCTCTCTCTCTCCTCTTCTCCTCTTCTCCTCCCTCGTGTGTTTCTCCTCTATCGTGTGTTTCTCCTCTCCTCTTTCTCATCGCTTCTCCCCCTCTTTCGGACTGCATCACCTCGCATCTCCTCGCATGCCATCCTCAATTCCTTCTCCATAATCCAGCCATCTCGCTTGCCTCTCATTCGCTCCATTTGGTTTGTGTCATGCATGCATTGAGCTATACCTTCCCAGTCCACGCCATCTTCCAGTAACCCTCCTAGCGCACGCGTCTCTCCACAACCCTCACCCTTCGCCACACTCACAATCAATTTTCCCTCCTCAATCTCAGGCAGCCTCGTTCGCCATGGAAGAAAGCGCCTCGTCGCGTCCCACCAACACCCCCGAGGGGTCCGTCGGAGCAGACGATCACAACCCGTCGAGCTCCGCGAAGAACCCGGCCCTCAAAGATCGGCAATGCAAATACTGCCACCAGGCATTCACCTCATCCTCCCTCGGACGCCACCTCGATCAATTCATGTTCAAGAAGAAACCCGATGGCATCCACGATGTCGAGGAGATTCGACGCATTCGAAGTGAGATCACGCGACGCCAGGCCCGCACCTCGTCCGGCAGACGCGACACCCCCGAGCGAACACCGGGCAAACGTCAACAAGACCTATTCAGCTCGGGCGACTCGGGCACGAAGCCACGCGACGGCGCGTATAGGATGATGTTCAACACCCCTACGTGGCATGCGACCGGAGTCATCAACGACATCCCGAATCCGAGCCAGGCGCAGGAGGGCACCTCCGCCCATTCGCGCATTGCGCCTTCGCAGTCTCGAACCGGATCCTTCACCTTCACGGATAGACACAATTCGAGTAATCCGGACACCATGCGGGCGCTGGAATTGGCTTTGCGCGAGGTGCTAGATAACATCAAGGCTGCAACGTATGACCACCTCCCATCTGGCCCTTGGCGCGTTTTGATGAACGATCTGACATTCTTGGTCCCTCTAGCTCTCGAATGCGCCCCCGACTCTCTCCATTTGACTTTGACATCCAATCGCAAACGTTTCCCTCCCTCTGTCTGCAGCTTCTCCCTCCTCCGCCCAGCCTCTTCGCGACCAACCCATTCCCCTCACCTACATCTTTCCCACTCCAACCTCCGGGAGTCGAGCACCTCGAAATTGTCCGACAAGCTCTCCGCGCCAAAATTGAACAATGGCAGTCCGACCAACTCTCTTCCGTTGAGTCCGGTTCTCACCCTCATTCCGGCCGCCCATCGACCTACGGGCTCGACTCCAGTATGATCAGCCGCAGCGCCCAACAACACGAAGACCTCAGCCTCCGTCATCTTGAACTCGCCTTCAAGCACTGGGCCTCTTTGTCCCAGGAAATGCGCAAAGATGCTTGGCAACTCGAGATCACGCGCGCTTTCGCTCGCGAAATGGACAAGCGCAAATCCTTGGACGATCAGCTCGCCCGTGTCCAACAGGAAGCCAACCAACTCCGCGCCCAGGTCGAACGACTCGGTTCCTGCCAATGGCCGCGAGAGTTTGCACTCTTCCCGCCTGACACCTTGCCTCTTCCGCGGGATGTCGCCAAGGAGCTGGACGCGCACCAGAGCCAGATCTCCCCTACCTCATCGAGATGGGATTACGACAGTGTTGTTGCGAAATGGAAGCGAGTTGTGATGCATGATAAGGGAATGGGTCGCGTGGGCGTAGGCTACACAGCCTCCCTTCAGCAGCAGCAACATCAAGATGATCTCCCTCAGATAGCGCCTTCTAGCACAGAAACAAGACAGCAGCGCAGTGCGACGGCCACAGCAGGCGATGACAGGACAGCAAGCAGAATGCTACACCCTCCGACGGGCGCCTCGGCCTTGAGTCCCGATCCTTCCCCAACGAATCCCGCCCCTATTCCCAGCGCAGCACCCGCATCATCATACCAGCAGCAGCAGCAACAACAACAACAACAACAACAACAATCACAGCAACACCAGGATTCCGTGACTCGCAGCCCTGAAACGGGCCCTCACGCTAAACGCCCTCGCTTGATGAACGGCCATCATACGGCGACGGCAGCGCCATCCGCTGTCGGACACGACGCCCCAGAGGGCAATGTCCCTAGCTCTGGCGTACCTGTACCATTGTCCTCGCCAACCGTAACTACCGGTGCCGGCAGCACATCAGCCCAACACTCCACCGGCTCCTCCAGCCTGTGGACCGCCCCGCAACAATCCGGCGGTGGTATCCCCTCTAACCCCACGGGTACAGCCTCCGGGACTTCCGCACCGACGCCGCCGCCCTCCTGCTCAGAGACGGCTTAATGGGTGTCTGAGGCAACTAGCTTGCCTTTGGCACTCTTCTCCTCCCACCGACTGGGACGCCTCGAAACTTACATTTCCTGAGAAGACAAATGTACCCTCGTCATTCAGAAAATGAAGGTAGAACCGGGTATATTCTCATCACCGACTCAAGGTCACTATATACAACCATCTATCTATCTATCTATCTATCTATCTATCTACCTCAATCATCGTTGAAAGTGTGTCCGATCTTAACGTCGGGGAGAAGCAACAGTGGACCCACACTCCCCCACAAGTATAGGTTATAACAGGATGAAGGGGCACCCTATGCCAACTGAGTGGTATGTCATCTTGAGGATTGTTTCTATTGTGTGTGTTGATTCTCCTGTACATACGTTTTTATATACATGATCCTTGAGATTGGAATCCCATTCACATTCTATACTATACTAGTACTTTTCAGCGTTCAATTCCCAGTAAACCCTCGACTCAACTCCCGAGGTTCTCCTATTTTTATTACCCCCCCCCCTTACCCAACAGCATATCTGCGCATGTCAAACTGCATCTCGAACAACCCACCCACTCACCGATCCCCCGTTTGCTCCTGCGGAGCGTTCGCATCCTTCGCCTTCCGCTTACTAAACCACTTCCTGATATCCCCGATGCCATGCAGATACAGCCAGGAAAAGAAGAAGACCGCCACGAAGTTGAACGCCACGTAGGCCCAGAAGATCCCCTGCATTGGGCTATCAGCTTCATGTCGACCTGAGACCCAAGGGAAACAGCCCAGCAAGATTGACCAGCAGCCGGCGGAAAAGATAGACTTACATAATCTCGCCATTTATGCGAGTAGAAGACGTTGAAACTCGCGGCCTGGGATGGCACGGCGAAAGGATATACGTTAGTGTTCATGCCGCCTTCAGAGGGAGAGAGAGAGAGAGAGAGACATACAAAGACATCGCCATCGGCGTATTGACAGAAGGCACAGAGCCCGTTGGCCGCGTCTTGGACGTATCCGCCGGCTTGCGAGGCGTAGGCACCGGCGTAGTCCTGACAGGCGGAGCCGGGGGGCGGACTGAAGAGCGACTCTTCGCGGGAGACGCAGCGGACGGGGACGTTGTGGGTGACCACGCCCAGGAGTCCCTCGAGGAGGTAGTGGAAGGGGGTGAGCCAGTACATCCAGGAGCGCCAGAAGTGGATGAGCGCGTTGTAGGGGACGACGACGCCGCAGAAGGAGACGACGAAGGTGAAGAACGTGGGCACGAGAAGGGAGGCGAAGAGCTCGTTGGGCGCGAAGGCGGCGATGAACTGCCCGAAGCCGATGTAGAAGGCCTCGAAGAGCATGAGCATCATCCAGACGTAGCCGGAGCTGAACGAGTCGCGCGGGAACCAGACGCCCCAGTACCTGTGGTGGTGTCTATTAGTTTGCGTGGACGGATGGAGATGGTGGAGAGAGAGGGTTTGCTTGCCAGCAGTTGAAGTAGAGCGAGCCTGCGACGATTGAATACGGCAATTCGGGGAGAATGGTGCTGGCCACGAAGGCTGTCCAGGAATAGATCTTGGAACCGGCCTCCCGAGACTGGTAGAGATCGCGGAAATGGAGGTATCGGGGCTGGAGCTGCTGGATCAGAGGCGGGCAGATGGTGAGGGTCATGAAGATGGAGAATAAACGGGATTGCATGTCGATTTGGCTGTTGCCTAGGTGCCAGAAGGTGAAGGTATTGAACAATCCGGTGAAGATGTGAAGGATGAATTTACCCTGCGAGCTTGTTAAGGCTGATGGCTTATAGCAGTTCGAACACCACCTACCAGAACGTATTGCGGCGTCCGCCAGTAGGCAATGAAGGATCGTTTGGTGACCGCCACAATTTGCACCCAGACGGGCATCGCAAACTCGCGGTCATCATCTGTTCGTTCTCCTCCTTCCTTGTCCCGACGTTCTCGGGTTATCTTCTGAATGGTCTCTGAGAGTTGTCGGTGTTCTTCTGAATTGGCCCAGACATCGCCCCAGTCTTGTCCTTTGTACTCAGGGTTTCCAGCACCAATGGCGTCGAGCATGTACTACTTCAGTCAGCGAAACAGGTCGATGCGGTGTGAAAGGCTGCAAATACCTCGGCAGGATTCTCGTGCGAGGCACACTTCCTGGCGCCATTGCTTTCGAAATAGTCAATGAGCGTCCTGGAATCTGAGCCCAGCTCAGCGTTGTAAACGACCCTTCCTCCAGCTTGTAGCAAAAGCAAATCGTCGAACTCTTCGAACAAAACAGCAGACGGCTGATGGATTGTGCATAGAATCGCTTGACCAGCATCGGCAAGTCGTCGGAGAAAGCGTACAATATTGTAAGCGGCCAGTGAGTCCAGCCCAGAAGTCGGCTCATCAAGGAAGAGTAGCAGTTGTGGCTTGCTTGCTAACTCAACCGCAATAGTCAATCGCTTACGTTGCTCTGGGTTCAGCCCAGCGCCACCGGCCCCGACTGTTGCTCCTGCTATGCCTCTCATTTCCAGCAGATCGATGATTTTCTCGCAATAATCATATTTTTCCTGGATCGAAACGTCGCTTGGTTGACGAAGGCGGGCCGAGAATCGGAGTGATTCTCTCACAGTAGCTGTAGGCTCATGGATGTCCATTTGCTCAGCAAAGCCAGTGGCTCTTTGGAAACTCTTTGGAAGCGGCCTGGAGAACTCAGCAACAGCGGAAGGACTGCTAAGATGAGTATACTTACTTGCCATCAACAAGAAATGTACCAGTGACAACACCGAAGTTGACGCGCTGCGCTAGGGTATTCAAAAGGGTTGTTTTCCTGAAACCATGGTAAGTCAGAATGTCGAAGGAGATAGTTGATTCATGACTAACCCTGCTCCTGACGCACCCATGAGAGCTGTGAGACGACCTGGCTTAACGTATCCCTGTACGTCTTGGAGGAGCTTCTTCTGGTCACCTTTATACGGGATTGTATAATTCACGTTTTGCCACGTGAAGATAGAAGTACTTCTCGCGATACCTTGAACCTGTTTCTTTGATTCGTCCGAGTTCTTCTCTTGGAGGCTATTGCTGCTCCCAGATTCGATATCACCCGGAAGCTCCTTGTATTTCACCGCATCCTCGACAGCTCTGGGTGCCTCGCCCCGCTTGAAGATGGTGACCGTGCTGCCTCCCTTGTTGGGTTTCTGGAGTTCCATGCCTAGCATGGTCAGGACGACGAAGAGTATGAACCAGCCGATGATAATCCCAAAGTTACGCCAGAGATGAGATCGACTGTATGTGAAGGCTTCATCTATATATCTAGATCCCTGAACGACCAGCTGATTCGGGGTGCTTCCTTGTATGGCGCACACTTGATGGCCTGTCTGTGCAGTCGGACCATCTGGGAAAATAGCTGGTGGAACGCATTGTAGGTTGAGATTGTAAAACTCGTTCGACATGATTGCCTCAAAGGCGTATTGTACTGGATTGACCCAAATCAACCATTTGAACCAAGGATGCATCTTCCATGGAGGGATGAGATAACCTGAATTGGTCAGTTGTTATATCACAACCGATGCGAAGGGCGGGGTTTCAATTACCGGTATATACGATCAATATCTGAATCACGACACCGGTAAGACGTGTGGCTAGAGATATTAGTCCAGGCTCTGGAGCCCCTTAAGATCTTACTTACAAACATCAAGGGAGCCAGTCAAGGCGCCGATGGTTCGGAACAAGGAATACATCGTCATGGTAAGCGTGAATATGAACAGGAAGTTGATAAAGAACTGGGATGCTGTCCTCTGAAGGTTCGACATGCTGCGCATGATCGTCAGCTACTATTGCGCCAAACAGGCTCAAGAAGGCGTACAAATATACCACCAACTCGAAAAGAGTTACTTGGATGAAAATAATAGGCACATCAACAACGACCTGGGCCAGAGCAAATGCTGAAGGGCGATAAAAGGAACTTTGGCAATTAGTATCGGTTCCTATTTTTTGATGCAGTACTCACAAAGTCTTGTGCTTCAGCATAATAGGCCGACTCGAAAAGAACGCCGTAAGTTCAGCCATGGCGAGAAGTGCATTGAATAAAAGGACAAAGAACAATACACCCCCTCGTGTGAAAACACCGGCACTGCGTACTGATTAGAGAGTCCAGAATGGCTGGCATAGGTGCGGACAAACCTGGTCTGGGGAAGGTCATAAAACAGACTTCCAATGATCAATGCTTGGAAAGTAAGCATGGCCCATTTGCCGATCAGTGTCTGCTTATCACCATACATGATGAGAAACTGTCGCTGGGTCAATATGATAATTTGTTTATAAAAGGATACTGTGTAATTCTTCTTGAGCTTTTCCCTGGCAACCTCTTGTTCCTCTCTATGGACCTCTACCTCCTGCTCAAAATCCTCGATATCTTTTTGAGCAGCTTTAGAGATGTCACTGTGTCGATATGCTCTTTGGAAATCCTCCCCTGACCGAGGAATGCGATCCTCCCACCCTTGCTTGACACGCCTTGCAAAGGGATCGCTAACCGAGGTCAGAAAATCCGGGGTTGTCCATCGAGGAGGACACTCAAATCCCAAGCTCTCGAAGTAGGCTTTTGCATTTTCTGTGCGTCCGTAGTATGCACATTTTCCGTCCTCGATCAACATCACCTTGTCGAACAGGTTGTAAAGGTTTTCCGATGCCTGATACAGTGCCACAAGGGTGGATGCATGGGACATGTCTGTTGAGCTCCTTAGGCTCTGGACATACTCCAGGGCCGTGCTTGCGTCCAGGCCTTTCGTCGAATTGTCCCAGCATTGTGTGCTAGCCTTAGTGACCAACGCTTCGCCGATGGAAACACGCTTCTTTTCTCCCCCGGAAATACCACGGATTAGTTCATTTCCAACTTTTGTGCCGAGCGCATGTTCAATCCAGAACAACTTGGCAATTGTGGACAGGAAAGTTTCCTGATACTGCTTCCTGGTTTCTCCCGGAAGTCGCGACTCCTGGCCCGGTGTCCTGCTTTTCAGCGCGAACATGAGTGTATCTCGGACTGTAAGCGTGGCATAATGGAGATCATCTTCGGGATTATAGAGCACTACGGACGTCAGTCCTGGATCAACAATGCCAGAAACCAAAAACAAAACCTGAATACCTTCTGAGCGATATTTATCGGCCATTGTCCCAGAATCAGTGCCTCCATACAGTACATCGCCTTCGACACTCTTGTAGCCGGACCTCTGATTTCCTATCACTTTCAAAAAGGTTGAGCAGCCAGACCCGGGGCGACCCAGCACGAGAAGCATTTCTCCAGGCCGCACGCAACCCTTGTAGGAGAAACAAAAGTCAGAATCAATCTTACAGGAATGAGGTGCAACGCTATCACTCACTGTGAAGTCGTCAAGAATAGTACGCAACGCATTCCCTGAACCATGATGCTTGCGACGAGTGAAAAAGTTCTTGATCAATCGAGGTACGGCAAGAAAGATGTCTGCATTCGTAGGTTGAATGGCAGCGCCTAGTCCCACGCCTTTGACCGTGAGATTCTTCCATACTACGCCGAGATGCCTCGTCTTTTCTTCTTCTGAGTTGGCTTTCCTCTCGTGGCCGAACATCCGGGACACCAGTTTCGCGATCTGAGCGGTATCATCTGCACCACCCCCGGGTTCAGATCCTGACCTAGAGGTTTGTCTCTTGGACAGCACGCGCGCAATATCATCGTCAGTCAATCTCCTGTCGAGAGTGAGCCTCTTTTGACTCCCAGCGACGTGTTCGCTGGCAAGGGTGGATTGGTCTTCATGATGGCTGGACCCGGAGTGCGAGATTGACTCGGACAGAGACGAAGAAGTCTGCGAGGGGTTATCCTCGTGCTGAACGTTTAGATTGCGTCTGGAGCCGATCTTATGCTCTCTGTCCATGATGTATGATAAGCAAGAGCCTGGTCATTGGCCTGATGGCAATTGAAGATCGAGCTGCGCATTCAGGAGTATATATGGGGAGCACCAGGGGTAGAGTCTGGACCGACGCATTGGAACATACATCATCAGATTATATTCACCCCTAACGTCTGATAACGGACATAACCGGATGTACAAGAAGCAGGAAAGAGTAGTGGGGGCTCCGAGAGCCTATTGATCAGCAAACCCAAACTCAAAGCTCCCCGATGTGACAATGCGGGCGTGAGGTGGGTGAGTCGGAGCCCGACATGCCGATGCGACGGAAATAGGCGAGTGCTGTTCCGATTCGAGGAGTGGTGAGCATTTCCAAGGTTGAAGAAGAGAAACCCTGAGCTGCCAGGGTGTGTGGTGGCGGATGATGCGATGCGGTTCAATTGACGTCGAGCATCATGAAGTCATCATCTGCGGCCATCGGGCGAGAACCATGGAATTGGGTTTGGTGCATCCTTTGAACGCCAAGGGGAGCTGAATCATGCGACATCAAGGGTCCTTCCCAACTTGAATACCCCGTCATACCCATTATAGGTGATTGTGCTATGTCGAGGTGTCGAGGTTGTCGGGGTAAATGTATGTCGTGCTTGGTGTTGTTGCAGCTGCCGACTTGGTCATTGTGCATGGTTCTAGATACATTGTAGACGAATAGCATCATAGAATCAATGTGAAAGGGTAATAACTTGACATAAGACAAATTGAGATCTAGACTGAATAATGAAGTAGATCTGGAGATAAGGCGGAGGCAGAGGTGGAGGTGGAAGAGGGGAAGTGGAAGTGGATGTGGATGTGGATGTAGAAGTGGATGTGGAAGTGGTAGTAGTGGAAGGCTTCCTTCCCCTTCCCTTTCTTCCCCTCTTCAACTTCCTCACAAACATTGTCATTTTTCCCAACCCCGCATCTACAGATCAAACAATGAGGGGGAAGTTCAGCAATCCCAGTCACGACGATTAACCGGATCAATAGGAAATTCTTCTCTGCAGCGGGATATTTACGCCGGCTCCTGGTAGATGCAGATCTCCGGACTTGAATGGTTCCACCACTTTCATGACTGCAGACTGCAGCAGCAATGCCTGCAATTAGATTCTGTTTTGGCTAAATAATGGCAAGCCTTAGCATTAAAAGGACGCTCTCAGCATGGGCAGACTTGAAAGAATCATGAGCATCTCAGAAGTTTATAGACTTTGAGCATCATCAACAACATCATGCGCGTACCCTTCCTCACCGCGCTGCTCGCCATTCACCCGGTTGCAGCTATAGACGCGAGCAATGGAACTCCAACCACCAGCTCGGCGCCTCTAGTCACCAGCCTAAACCTCACAGTCGAAGGTCAGCTTCTTCCCTAATGGGGCACTCCGTAGGGACCTCAGCTCATATACCATAGACCTGTGGAACATCTACATCGGTCCCGTAGAGACCGCAGCGGTCAATACCACCGTGGAGCCCACTCCAATCCCAAGCTCTCAACTAATCCCACCGCCCCAGTTATACTATCCCTCCTACCTGACCGGCGCCCAGATTCCCGCCCAGGGCAAGAATGATAGCTGGTCCTTCCCCAAGGGATTCTGGTGGGGCGTCACCAGTGCCTCGTACCAGGTCGAGGGGGCTGTCAAAGCCGACGGCCGTGGCCCCAGCATATGGGATGCCTTCACGCATCGAGCGATGAATGTAGCTGACAATCAAACTGGCGATGTTGCGATCAACCAGTACTACACCTACAAAGAGGGTACACATCTCCCCTCATGATACCTTCCAGTCCTCTCGGGAGAACCCAGATCTAACCACTACGACCAGACATCCAACGCATCGCCGCCATGGGCGTCAAAGCCTATTCCTTCTCCATCTCCTGGTCCCGGATCTTCCCCTTCGGCAATGGCCCGATCAACGAAGCTGGTCTCCAGCACTACGACGACGTGATCGACACCTGCTTGGAATACGGGGTGCAACCGCAGGTCACCCTCTACCACTGGGACCTGCCACTCTTCCTGCAGCTCTCATACGGTGGATGGACCTCCGAGAAAATCGTCAACGACTACCTCGCATACGCTCGCGTACTCCTAACCCGATGGGGCGGCAAAGTAGCGCAGTGGTATACGTTCAACGAGCCCATCTCCTTCTGCGGCGAGTACCCCGTGCCGGACGGCTACTTCACCACAGCAACAACCATCCCCGCCCACCATCAAAAGTTCTGGTGCGGACACTACATGCTCCTGGCTGCCGGCAAGACCTACCACCTCGCACGGTCCCTCAACATCACCGCCCCGATCAGCGTCAAGAACAACGGCGGGTACAAACTGCCCCGAACGAACTCCACCGCGGACGCCGAAGCCGTCGAACGAGCCTGGGCCTTTAACGAAGGATGGTTCGCCGACCCCCTATTCCTAGGCGACTACCCAGCCCGCCTCAAAAACTTCACATCCAGCTTCCTGCCCGAGTTCACCGCGGCCGAGAAGAGCCTCATCCAGGGCGCGAGCGACTACTTCGCGCACGACGCCTACACCGCGGCCTACTACATGGCGCCCGACGCCGGGATAGAGGGCTGCCTCGCCGACCCGAGTAACAGCCTCTACCCGCAGTGCTACAACTCGACCTACACCTTACCGGCAAGCGAGGGCGGGTGGCTGATCGGTCCGGCCTCCGACCCCAACACCCGGTGGCTGCACAAAGCCACCGAGTGGCTCCCCGCGTTCCTGCACTACATCCAGCGCACGTGGCAGCCGGCCAACGGCATCGTCATCACCGAGTTCGGCTGGACCGAGCCCTTCGAGGCCTACAAGTCCAAGCGCGAGGATATTGTGACCGACCCGGTCCGGTCCGCGTACTACCGTGACTACGTGAAGGCCATGCTGATCGCCGTGGCGGAGGGGGTCAATCTGGTAGGGTGTCTGGCGTGGTCCATTGCCGATAACCTCGAGTGGACGGCCGGGTTCACGGTCAAGTTTGGCTTGCAGGTGAGTACCCGACTTCTGTCCTCAGTTTCCGAGGGTGGGGTAAGCTAACTGGAGTGACAGTATGTCAACCTGACCACGCAGGAGCGGTTCTACAAGGCCAGCTTTTTCGAGCTGGCGAGCCTCTTCAAGACTTATATCAAGGAGTGAAGGGACGGGTGCTGAGGTCGGACAAGGGATACCACACATTTCCCCGAGTTAGACTATAGTGACACTGAGCTCAAGGGTATGGAGACAGTGTCAACAAATAGCCAGATCAGTACAATCTATCACCTCTAAAACACCCGGATTTGTATCAGGAACAAGTCTTATTGCCTTGCTATAATCCTACTCAGAACTATACGCTACCACCCAACCAAACAGAGAATATATCCAACAACACCCATACAACCACCCCTCCACCCCCAATATATACATGAAACTTTCCACCTAGTAATACTAGTATTCATGTATCATGTCCACGCCCAGGCCCATACCCAGGCCCATACCCATACCCATACCCAGTCCCCCGCGTCAGCGAGACCACCGCAGTGGCCACCGTCGCAGACCCCGACCCCGACTCGCGCACCGACTCCGCCCCCTCCGCCCTTGTGATATTAAAATAACACGAGACGAACCCACCCGCCTCATCGGGGGTCAATCCACAGGAAGAAGACGTTGGAGTACTCGAGGTCGAAGCTGTAGAGCTGGACGGGCCAGGTGACGGATCCCAGAGGTTGGATGTCCACGGCTACTCTTTACAAAATCCTGGATTCAAGGCTGTGGTGGACGATTACGAAGCTCGGGTTTTGTAGACCCATGTCTTCTAGCAGGGGGCCCAACGAGACAATGGAGTAGTGCTAGATGTGAATCACCAGCAAAGATTCGAAGTTTGCTTAAAAAAGTTGTGGTGAGAACTAGGTCTCACCCCTCCAATGATCTCTGGTGAATCTTGAAGGAAAGACTTCAGGCGTTGAAAAGGCGGTGGTAGAATGACAGCACAAGTAGCTGCTCTGTGTGGGAGGAATGCCTGAAATCGAAAACTGAGGACCATTTTGCAACGGCAGAATTCAAGCTGTTCTGTATTATCAGGCAAATGATTTCAATCGCATGTATTACTTCAACATGATCTGTATATAGAGAAGTCGTGCCACGCTGAGTCCTTAGGTCGAGATCTGCCGCTAGACTGCCTAGCACGATTCGCTGTCTAACGAATGAATGCATCAATCAACCAACCTGCACCTGTTGCCACGGCAGCACAAGCTAGTCCGCAGAGACATCCACAATCTTCTGCATCCCATCCTCCCCTAACATCGCAACCGACCCTCCAAGCACTGTGAAGTTCCTCGGGTCAGCATCCAACGGCACTCCTACATCATCCCACGTCGCATGGACCGTCCTCTCGCCGCTCAGGAGCCGGTTGACGTTCAGCATGGTACTATACATCACCCCGAAACTATAAGCCCCGTGCACACTGTCATCCTGATCATGTATATCGGAGGTCTTGGAGAATGACCCAGCGGGCTGATACCCCCCCGTCAGCGACGGATACGCGCCGAAGCACCGCAGATACCCATGCCCGCACATCCGGCCCAACGACACATCGAATTGAGCCCCGATATCAATCTGCTCCGCCAGCTGCCCAGGGCTAACGGAGAGCGCCGCCAGGATCTTCTGGGCGCCGAAGTAGCTCACAGCATAGACCAGAGAGCAGGCCGCATCGCCCACGCTGCAGACCAGACGCGTATGGTCGGGTCGATCGATAGGAGGCGGATCGCGCCAGTAAGGTAGGAAGTGATGGGGCGGTAACACTGTGGAATCCTGATGCGACAGGAAAACCGGCAGCTCGGTCTTGCAACTCATACCGCAGTGGCCGAGCCAGAGGACATCCCAGTCGTCGCCGTAGGGAGACCCGGTGGAGTTGCCATCCGAGCCCTGCAGAGCTCGGACGGCGAGCGCATAGCTCTGGAGTTGCGTTTGGAGGGTCACATCCCAGTCGACATCGTCCTCCATGATGATAGCGCTTCCGAGTCTGCCTTGGACGATTCTGCGCGAGGGTCAGCAGGTATTGCAGGACAGCAAGCGGGATGTTGCATACTGCTGCATTGCATTGACATGCGCACGCCGGGCCGCATATTCCGTCGGCTTGTGGTCTGGATTCCAATGCTGAAGGAGCTCCTCAGCAACCAATACAGAATTAAGTTTTGCACTTTTTCAGGCTTACATGAGGTATTGATTTGGGATTGACTTCGTCCGGGGTGACCCCATCGACCCATTCCACGCGGAAGCCGCTGACCGATGAACCCAAGATAATATTGTCCCTCTTATCGGGTCTGGATGGGAGGTTCACAACGAAAATCTTCTGAGTCTGCGTCTAGTTAGTACACAGTCATCCCTTCCGGCAGAATTTCCGTGCGCACCCCTAAAGTCTCGTTGCTGATGGGATGGAGGGAGATCGACTCATCCTCGGGCCGATCCCGCGCTGTCACTTGCGCATAGTGGATCGGCGAGAAGCTCAGAATGACGACGATCGCCCCAAGTAAAAGTAGAATGGTTCGAGGGAGTCGTTTCTGAAGGATTGACAGAACCATACTCGCTTAAACAAGTAGAAAAGACAGTAAGATCGAACATCAGATCAGTTGGGCTGGATTTGCAGGCCCACTCAATCGCCCCTTAGGCGCTCAATTCTCGATCGGCGGTTGATTGAATGCGGGGAGGGATGGGGATGTCCCCAGCGGGCTTATCTGGCTTGGCTCGGGGCTTGCTATTTCCTGGCTGGTAGAGCGGGAAGGAGAAGAGAAAGACAGAAAGAGAGGAAGAAAGGGGAAGAGAAAAAGAAGAAATCGACAAGGAAGGGTCAATGTCGGTAATGCTACTAGGTAGTCTAACAGCCATCCCTGGTAAGATTTGCTCAGGTAGTTACATTGGTTACATTGGTTACATTGGAGAGGACGGATCTGGTGGGAGAATTAAATGAGCCATGAATCTGGCCCAGTGGAAGGAGCGGATCTGCCGCCGGGACCCTCCGAACTTAGTAGCCACTGCGTCCGCGACTAATTCTTCTACCGAGTAAGTTACTGTACATCGAGCGTGGGCTATAAATTCCACAGCTGCTGTTTGACCTCCTCCTCCGGTAACAGTGAGCAGGACGCCGCACCACGTCCGATCTCAAGCAGAAAGGGGAAGTGCTGGATTTCCACAGCAGTCCAGTTCGATAGTTATCTAGAAAGCTTATGTGAGGTGTAACTCTCTACCTAGTAACCAACTACATGTATATCCCAGCCGTGACGGTCAGCACTAGCCCTGCTCCAGCACTGCCCCCATCATCACCTCATCTCCAACGAGATTCACCCCAGGGCATTCATTTAAAACCCAGGATTCCCCTCCACCCTAACTTCAACATCGAAAGCACAAGCTTTATTACCTTCTACGTTCTAATTGAAATCCAACAATGGGCCAACAAGCGTCCGTCCCGCGCCCCGGCACGGACCTGCAGGTGATCGGGGCGGGGCTCTCCCGCACCGGAACCGCATCCTTCACTGCAGCCCTAGAGATCCTCCTGGACGCCCCCGTCTACCACGGGGGCACGCAAACCACCATGGGACCCCCCCTTGAGATTCAATCGTGGAACGCCATCTTGCGCACCTGGCTCGCGGGCGATAGACCCCAAACCCTGCAGCGGCTGCGTGCCCGCACCGCCGGCTACGGCGCGATCACCGACGCCCCGGCCAGCCAACTGGTCCCCGAACTGCTCGAGCTCTATCCCCATGCCAAAGTGATCGTGACCGTGCGCGATCGCGACAGCTGGGTGCAGAGCATGCAGCAGATCAGCTCCCTGGCCAAGCTGTGGTTTATAGGGGCGGTTCTGCTCCCCTTACCGGGGATGCGGTACTTCGTGACGTATATCGACCTGCTGCAGCGCCAGTGGGATCGGATCTACGGGAAGAGCCGCGATAACGCCTGGATCTACGACCGGCATCTGGAGTGGCTGAAGGAGGTGGTGCCCGCGGATCAGTTGGTGTTGTTCAGTGTCAAGGAGGGGTGGGAGCCACTGTGTCGGGCTCTGGGCAAGGAGGTTCCCAAGGGTATTCCTTTCCCCAGAATCAATGATTCCAAAGCGATCGATCGCGTGGCGGCTTATCATATTAAGCGGGGGTTGGCGCGATGGGCTGTGGTCTTCGCCGTGATGGGGTTGGTGGGGGCGTGGTGGGTTTATGCGAGGTGATGGGGTGGAAGACTTGGAGTGACGATGGGAGCAGGACTGATTCAATGGTAAAGCGATGACTAGAGGGCGAGAGTGGGCAGAATGGCAAGGTATTGGGAGTGTAAAGTATGTGTATCTTGTATGAAGCATTTTGTTGTGGTAATTGTGATAGTCCTAGTGCTTAATCTCGAAGGATTGCTAGTAGGATTGTCAACTTAGAACACGCACTTTTATACACCTCCCACACTCCGGGCCGCTTAGTGAGCAAAAAGCAGCGTCAAGTTAGATGTAAAGCGGAAAGGGGAAGGCGTTCGAGTTCAGTAGCCTGCCTACACATACTACTCATTTGACACCAACTACCAATTCCAATGCAGCAGACACAGTCATCAATTTTATTATCTTAACACAGAACAGATTCAACCGAATCATGAATACACACTAAGCCTACCAAGAGAGAATAACACAGATCATGGTAAAATATATTGGTATATGGGGTATCCATGATGCACTCGGGCTGTAAACATCAAACAACCAAGGCAGAATGCCGGCAAAGGTGATCGCAAGCAAAACCCTCTCCCTGTGGCGGGCTAAGAGATAGATAACATGGTATCACGCGATAAATAAACCTCTATCTCAGACCGGGTCTGACATTATGTGCACAACGCCAAATGTACTCCACACATGCCACCTCTCGGGCATGTCGACTTTCGAGCCAACGGAAAAAAGAAAATTCACATGGATGGATTCAGGATGCAAGGTACCGTCAGCCTCTTGCCAAGGGCCATCACATCAAATCCTGTGTGGACAGAGTGCTGTCAAAAGGGTTTCGTGGAACAGCGGAGCCGTGAGCTGAACCAGACCAGCGGTTCCCAAAATCATGCGAGAAGAACTCAGCCGCCAGGGTTGGTCTTCAGTGGGCGGATCGCCCCTCCCCATGGGAGAGCCTATCCGGGGATGGTTGCACAGCGCCCCCGAAGCTTTGCCGCCGATCCGACTTGTGAAGCTCCGCCTCAAGCGAAGTGATGACCGGCGGTGCAGATTTCAACGGGGAGGGACCGGCGACCCGCGGGGAAAGCGACCGATCGTGGTCGCTGAGGTTCGAGGTGTTGATGCTCAGCCCATGCACATTGCTGCTGGCGCCGCTGGCACGGACGCGGAAGGAGCGGCGGCCGGGGTTCAGGTGGTCGGCCGGCGTGATGTTGACATTCTCATCGTCGTCCAGGTCGTCCGGCGAGTATCGCATGCCTGCCTCAGGGTGGCGGATCCGCTGATATTCGCCGCGCTCGCCCGTGGGATCTGAGTCGTCGGCCTCGGAGTCAAGGTTCGGACTGCGCGTCCAAGATCCCTTCCGAGCTTCCGCACGCATCTTCGCAATCTTCATGTAGTTATATGTACCAATGCTGGCGATGGTCACAAACAAGCCAGTGATGTTGATGAAGGTGAGCTGGTCGTGGAAAATCACCCCCGCTGCACTGATGGTGACCACTTCCTTGAAGATACCGCAGATGCTCAAGGTTACCACCGAGGAGCGCTTGAGGAGCGCGAATTCGGACGAAATCATACAGAAAGCGAGAAGGCCGGGGAAGATCAACAGGCCCACCCCGAACAGGCTACCGCGAGCCTCGGCCAACGCATGGAATCCCGCAGCGATCTCGGAGGGTCCCTCCACGGCCAGCGCAATGATAATAAGAGACACAAACATGACGGGGGTAAGGAAAAATAGAGTAGAGAAGGGATTGGCCGTCGCTGGGTGGCGGAGGAGGAGGATCTGGGTCAGACCCCATCGGAAACCCGAGAAGAACGCGGATGCAATGACCAGGACGAACCCGACTACATTGAAAGCGGTCTCGCCAGCGACCATCATGACAACACCTACAGTCATTGTAGCGATAATGATTATCAATCTAACTGAGGGAGTCTCGAGGCGGAAGAGGAAGGCAAACAGAAGAACAAAGGCGAGGGCGGACGATTTGCACATGGTAAGAAAAGTGAGGGAGATGAACTTCAAGGACATATTTCCAAGACCAATGTCGAGGGAGGTTGCTGCACCGCAGGGAACCAGACGAGTAAAGTAGAAGAATTTGGTGAGGATCGGCCCTTTCTCCGAGTTATCATGACCTCGGACGGGCGAACCGGACGGCGTGGAGGTGTGAGGGTGCTGCGGGCGCAGCGATGGTATCAAGTAAAGCAGAAGGGAAGAGAGTGTGAACTGGACAGCCATATGCAGACTGGTGGTGAAGAGAGGGAACGGAAACACGACGTTATTGTCTGAAAACATCCATTTGTTGTACTGTAGAGAGGGCACGCGACCCGGTTAGCAGACGTCCAGCACCCGCCCAGCTCCGTCCCTAGGATCAAAACTTACAATTGAAATCGACAGCGAGAAAAAGTACCACATGAGGATTAAGCCACCGTTGACTAGAAGCTTTTGGAGGATGTCCCGATCGCCCATTCCCAGTGGCAGCCAGTCCTGTTTCGAGGCCTTGACATCGGCTATGCGGGCATCCAACTGCCTGCGCTGCTGTCTTCTGCGCCGTCGCTGACGTCTCTGCCTCGCAGTCAGGCCGGTCTCCTCGTCATCGTGGATGTCTTCATCCGAGCTCGTGTAATCCATTTCGCTGCTTTCCGCAATGGAGGACAGGTCCGACTCGTCTGCGTCCTCAGCCGGTGAGGACTTCTTCTCCTCTCTTTTCGAAGCGACTCCGTCCCCGGTCACCCTTGCAATGTCGTCCCTTGGGTCAAAAGCCGCCGAATGGGAACCTGCAGCCAACACTGAGCTCCGCCGTCGATGATGATTGCCGGCCGGGGAAACACCCATACTGGGACGGTGCTGATCGTCGGGGAGGTAGGTAGGAGGGAGGGAGGCGAAGTGATATATGGGTGAATCGCGGACTCAGAGGCGTTCGCTACAACGAGGATGGCCCCATCAGTGAGAATGTGAGTTGTGTCTCAGAGGCCCACCGCGCGCGCACACGATCGAGGGAAATTCGAGGGAAAAAAAGAATCGGGGGGGGTGGGTGAGAGGGGTTCAAGGACGGGTGGGCGGCCAAAGGAGTGTGGGAAGAAGATCGGTGAAGGAGCAAAAATGACTGGTCTCGGAGATTGGAGAGGAAAAGGGAATTGATGAGATGACACAAAGGAAAGTAAAAAAAAAAAAAAAAAAAAGGACTAATCCAAGGAAAGAGGTAGAAAAAGGAACT